GGTTGCTGTGAGGGTTAACAACTATAAATGTAAAAGAGGCAGAAGAGTTACTGGCTGAAGACTCTGGAGACAGTCAGCTAGGTTTCTAGTTCCTCCACTTACCAGCTGCTGCTTTGTCAGGTAAGTTATTTAGCCTCTCTGTGTCTCGGCTTCTTCATGTAGAGGGTGGCAATGGCAATAATGCCTGCCTCCTAGGATTGATTGAAGTATTAAGAAAAAGGTATGTGTGTGTGTGTGTGTGTGTGTGTGTGTGTGTATGGCTTTTAAAATGGTGCATGGTAAGTGATAAACCAAGTCTAACTTCTATCCTTGTCATCATGTCATCATCACCACCATCATCATCTTCTTGGAGTACGGCTCCTAACATAAGCCACAGTGAATCCTCATGCATTGCAACCAGGTAGTCAGATGACCTGGAGCAGTCAGGCCCTCGGTCTAGGAAGAATAGGTACATGCATAAAGAGAGAAATGTGAGCAGCACAGTGGCTGCAGGCTTTCTGTGTAAAAGGGGTCAGAGAGCTCATCTCAGTTCCAACTCCATTTCCCTTTCCCTTTTATGAGGAGGAATGACCTTGAAGGAGGGAGAACTGTACTCTGAGTAGATAGAAAAGCCTGGGCTACAGCCAGCTCCACTGCCCAGGCGCAGAGGACAGTCCTCTGATATCTCTGGAATGATTTAGCTTTATTGCCTATTGTCTCTTTCTTCAAATTGCCTTCAGGATGAATGTCCCAGCCAGAACCCATATAGAGGACAGCTGCTTCCCCAGTACTTCCTGAGGTGCGGACACTCTCCCCAGATGAAACATCTTTCAAATTGACCATTAGTGGAGGCTGTATTTTGCACCTTTCGAATGAGGAAATTACACTGCTTTAGAAGTTCTGCACTCTGGCTCAGGCAGTCAATTAGATGAGGGATACAGGCTGGGGTGCTTTCCTACTGGGCATAATACCCAATTTATTTTCATTTACACTAATTTCTCTACATCACTGACTGCATGAGACATTAAACTGTTCAATGCAAGCAATTCCCAATTGTTTGACACAAACAGAAATGTTTTGTGAATAATAATTTTTAAAAATGAGCCTATGGATGCAACCAAAATGTAAAATTGTGAGAACATGTTAATCAGCTTTTCACATTGCAAAGAGCTTGATTTTCTTTCTTTGTCTGTCTCTTTTCCTCCCTCTCTCCCGTCCTTCCTCGGCTTCCCTCCCTTTCTTCATTTTCTTTCTCCTTTTCTAAGTTTTCTTTGAAAAGACAAAGCAAATACACATAAGAAAATAGAGTCGTGTAGTTATTGATAGCACAATGAACAGAATCCATGGATGCGAAAGCCTTTTTTTCTGGAGGATTCCAAGATGCAAAAAATTTTAAAAATCTCCCTTCAGCTCTATGGATAGAGCAGTTTAGATGCTGGTTTGAAAGGGGATTTTAATTTATGCATCTCATTCTCAATATCAATTACATCTACCTAATGTCTTCCTGGTCTCATTAGCCTGTTAGGAGAGTCAGTTTAGGATAAAGGGAGATGGTGCTACTGGAGAGTCACATCAGCACCTCATTCTCAAACTTCCAGGAAACTTGGGACTTCCTTGAGTAAGAGTGGAACTTAGCCTCCATCAAAATGGATGGACCTCACCCTCCGTAGTTTTATCCCCATCTCCTAACTCTGCTGTTAGGAGAGATCTGGGTTGGAATCCAGGCTCTGTCCTTCATGCGGAGAATGACTGGGCAACATGGCTTTCATATCTCTGGTCCTCAGTTTCCTTATCTGCAAAAACGGGCAACAAAGACCTGTTTTCCGTGGTTATTTCCAATGCTCTGGTAGTGTAAGCTAAAGTATATAAAAATAAATATACAAAAGAGACTGGGAGGAGAAAATAGAATGTTCAAAATGACTGTTTATTTTTCTTTCTTTGTCCTGCACCTTTCAATTTTCTATATAGGCAAGCATTTTATTTCTTTTTTAAAAAAATGTATTTTATTCAAGTTTGTTTGATTTACAGTGTTATGTTATTTTCTCCCGTATAAAAAGTGATTCATATGTGTGTGTATATATAATATACATATATATAATTTTTCATTATGACTTATCACGGAATATTGAACACAGTTCCCTGTGTCACAAATCAGTATTCTTTCTTCAAAACTTTTTATTTTGTATTGGAGTTGAGCTGATTAACAAACATTGTTGTGATAGTTTAAGGTGAACAGCAAAGGGACTTATCCGTATATATATGTGTATCCATTCTCTCCCAAACTCCCCTCCCAATCCATTATATTTCAATAGGAAAATTATGATTTACAAAAGCACATCTTTTTTGTTCAAGATCATATGGATTACAATAATATCTATTGAATCCCTATTTACTTTTCCTCTGCTCCCTAAAATCTACCCTTCTCTCTTGTTCTTTTGAAAGGAAAGCAGATGTGATGTATATTAGTTTCCAATTGCTACTGTAACAAATTACTGCATACTTAGTGGCTTAAACCACACAAATTTATTCTCTTGTGGTTTTGGAGGTCAGGAATCTACAGTGAATCTTAGGGGTCTGAAATCAGGATGTGGGCAGGGCTGGCTCTTTAGGGCTGTGAAGGTGGAATTTGCTTCTTTGCCTTTCTCAGCTTCTGGTGCCTGCCCAGATTCCTTGCTTTGTGGCTCCTCCTTTCACTTTTTTTTAAGTAATAAAGTATTTTTATTTTTTACTTACTCTATTTTTTAATTTAATCTTTATTTTATATTATAGTTGATTTACAGTATTGTGTTAGTTTCAGGTATACACCAAAGTGATTCAGTTGTACATATATTACGAATCCATTCTTTTTCAGATCCTTTTCCCATGTAGGTCACTAGAGAATACTGCGTAGAGATCCCTGTGATATATAATAGGTCCTTGGTGATTATCTATTCTATATATGCATGCATACTCAGTTACTCAGTTGTGTCTGACTCTGTGACGCTACGGGCTGTAGCTTGCCAGGCTCCTCTGTGCATGGGATTTTCCAGGTAAGAATACTGATGTGGGTTTCCATTTCTTTGTTTCCAGGGATCTTCCTGAGCCAGGGATTGAACTTGTGTCTCCTATTTCTCCTGCATTGCAGGCAGATTCTTTACGCTTGAACCAATGAGGAATGTATATGTTAATTCCAAACTCCTAATTCATCCCTTCCCTCACCTTTCCCTTTGGTAATCTTAAATTTGTTTTCAAAGTCTGTGGCTCTACTACACTTGTATCATTTTTTTTTTTTAGATTCCTGTTATAAGTGATATGATATTTGTCTTTGTCTGCTATATATGCGATGAAATATTGCATGTATGTGTGCTAAGTTGCTTCGATCGTGTCCAACTTTTTATGATCCTATAGATTGTAGCCTACCAGGCTCCTCCATCCATGGGATTCTCCAGGCAAGAATACTGGAGTAGGTGACATGCCCCACTCCAGGGGATCTTCCTGACCCAGATATCAAACCCGCATCTCTTATGTCTCCTGCATTGGCAGGTGGGTTCTTTACTCCTTCATAAAAAAGAATGAAGCAATGCCATTTGCAGCAACATGGATGGACCTAGAGATTATCATACTAAGTGAAGTAAAGCCTTCCTTCACTTTCAAAGCACATTACACCAGTCTCTTCTTTTGTTGTCCTGTAAGGACCCTTGTAACTACAGATATAATTGCTTAGTTCAGCAGTCTCCCATCTCAAGATTCTTATTCATCTCTGCAAAGTTCTTTTTGCTGCATATGGAGATCTTTCATGAGAGGCCATTATTAAGCCCAACACATGGGACTTTTATGTGTAAGAGGTGATGAACTGAACAAAAACTGGGAAAAACAACAATAAAATTTCTGATAATGTAAAATAACAAGCTAGGTACTTTATACAGAATATCTGTTCAAGCCTTCCAGATCATAGCTGTACTGGATCAAATGTACTGGCAGGAAATACAAGGCATTTGAGTCTAGTGTAAATGCAGAAGCTGATGTGTTCTGTTAAAAAACTCAAATCATGACACACAACAATGAAAAATGATCAAGTCCTTTCTCCCTAGATCTCTAAAAGGCCAGAAATTCAGTCTATTATTCTTACTATTCTTTGAAATGTCAATTCTTACTAGTAAAAGGCACTAGAAAGACTCCTATCAGGGACTATTCCTTGATTCAAAAGCAGCCTGTTTTCTACAGCTTGGGACCAAGAGATGGCAAGGATAACTTTTTTTTTTTAAGTGAAAAAGGTTCAAATGATTATTTTTTGTTGCAAAAATGCCACAGGTTATTAAACTAGCATCAGGAATGGATATAATCAGAGCTCATCTATTATTAATGAGGTTCTGCCTTAATGTGATCATTGTAGAAGTGTGCCTTATACCTAGAAGCTATCATCTAACATAATAACAACCTGAAATAATGAGTTGCCAGCATGATATTTTTCTTCTGTGAAGGGTTTTACCTATAGGGTTACTTTTTCCTTTTCTTATAACAACAACAATACTAATAAACTGCAGCAGGTTAGACAGAGACAGGTGTTAAGTTTTATTTGTAATATAGCAGTAACTGCTTATCATCTTTACAGTTAAGATTGGCTACAGAAAACACAAAAATGTTTTGAAAACCATATTATTAAGACTTATAATGATGATCCCAGAGCCAGAACAGCTCAGGTAACTTTCTTTAATGTCTACTATGTGTGTGTGTGAGAAAGAGAGAAAGAGAAATCCAAGATATGATTATACTTATAGGTTAATTTACTAGGAAATTAAAAACTATTCTTGCTTGTACACAAGTCTTTTAACTGAAATCCCTTTCCTTCTCTAGGGCATGAGGCTCAGAAAAGACATAAATTAAGCCTCTATGAACAGAAGCTGAGGCAGACCGCATCCTGAATAGTTGAGCTTCCTTTATAGTGGTTATTACAAATAGTTGTGCTGAGGCTTGCTCACAAAAATCCTATTTAATCCTTAATGCAGTTGAATTCTATGGGGTGCAGTTACCTGGAGACCAGATTAGGCAAACTCAAGTGTCAGGAAGGAGAGTGAATGCAGAAATGAGGCGATAAGACCCAAGTATTCGAGCACGTCAAAATAAAAAACAGCGAAATCAGTGGAGGAAGAAGCTCGAAGTTGGCTGATTAAGACCTTCATGTCTCCAATGGCCGTTCCATTAATTCCCTGCTCCCTCTCTTCTGGGCTGGACTCCGCTTCTTCAGTCTGCTGGCTTCCAGCTCTGCAGTGTGGCTTTTGCTCTCCTGGCCTGGTTTCAGGGCGGGGTGTCTCAGAAGTATTGGTCAGACTTGATCTTGGTCTCGTCAATGCTGTGGCGCCTGGAGGCCCTCCCCTCCTCTTTCTTCCTCGGCACCAGGCTTTCCCGGTTCTTTTCTCGCCCTTTGCCCCACTGTGCTCAGTTGGTTCCTGTGCCTCCATCGACTCTTGAAACAAGGTCATCCTCCATGTTCTTTCCTCGTCTCTGCTGATGCTTCCTGAGTCTACATCACTAGCTCTGTCCCTGCTAATGAGATTCACACTTGAATTTCCATCCCCTCTCCTCCTGGGTCCACATGAAGGTTCCAGCAGCTTCTCAAACTGTACCAGTCCAGGTTTTCTCAGTAGCGTCTGTTCTCTCTCCATCTTCTGCCCTCACCTCCTCTGTCCTCACTGACTCTTGGATAAAAGGCCTCACCTTCTCTGACTCCTTAAGTCTGGAAATATCTTTGTCTCTTTTATTTCTTTTTTTGCCAGCTTCTCTTATTCCCAGGTTTTGCACTTTCTTGTTTGACCAGAGGACTTGTGTGTCCCCTTCCTTTCTGGTCCTGCTACCATTGCCCTGATGCTTATATTAATAGTAACCTCTTGGCTGATCTGTCTGCTTCCAAACTAGCCTTTGTTGTGCTGCTGAAACTAACTTCTCAAAATGCCCATGATACTGCTTGTCATACTACTTCATATAATAGTTGCTCAATTTAAAAAAAAATAGTTGCTCAATAAATGCTACCTTATGACTTCCTCAGCTTCAGTGACTTTATCTGACTATTAGTAGATAACTCTACAATTTGGCTTTCCTCTGATGTTTATTATGCCTCTAAGAAATAAAGCATGGGGTTTCCATTTGACTTTTGCCTGTTATGGTCATTTTAAAATTTCCGATTTATTTTAGAAAAGTAGAAGTCACCCCAGAGAGTGTGTGTATCAGAATGTAGCTATATAGGTTGACATATATATATCGTACCATGTGTAGAATAGATAGCTAGTGGGAAGCTGCCGTAAAGTACTGGAAGCTCAGCTCCTTGCTCTGTGCTAACCTAGATGGCTGGGCTGGGGGTTGGGGAGTGGGCTGAGAGGCAGGTCCAGCCATATCTTCTCCCTATGGCTGATTGACTTTGTTGTACAGTAGAAACTACCAACATTTTAAAGCAATTATAGTCCAGTCAAAAGATAGGAGGAAAAAACAGATAGGCGGCTGGATTTGACCTGGGGGCCATAGTTTGCGGACCCAGGATTTAGTACAGGAAAAGATTTTATTCAAAGGCCTAATCTGTGGCTGAATGGGAGTTTTCAGACCCTGTTTAAAATGACCCCACGGAGCCTGTAGAAAGCAGCTTGAGACTTTTGCAAAGTGGGTGCAGTGGGCCCCAGCAACATCCTGTAAGAGGGCATTGCCACAGACAAGGCCGGCTTACCTCTGTGAAGCGGGGAGTGGTCCCAGGCCACTGGGGGCAGACCTAGCCTGTGTGAGGGGCTCCTGTTTGCTTGGAACTTCCCAGAAGGTCTAGCCGTGATTTAAATTGGGAAGGAGAACGGCTAAGCTGGCAGCTACGCTGTGTTCTTTTGCTGTTGTCAAGCATGAGTTAAGTAGGTTTCAAACCCTTCCTAATGTGCTTTTCTCATTTAATTTTGTGGCTGCATAAACTTTCGTAGCAAATAACGAGTTAAGGCTGCAGCCAAATGTTACGGACTCTATGTATCTGGAGAGCCTGTGAGTGCAGCTCTGCATTCTAATGGCTGCTTAACCAGACGCCGCCTGGGCTGAGCAAGCTTGCTTTGGCTTGCAGATGGATTCTGTGGAATGCAAGGGGACCCCACCAGAGAGCCCCTTGGCCTCACTGCTGCCCTCTGCTCTCAACAGAAGTGTTTTTTTTCCCCCCAAGACTTGACAGTTTGGGTCAGAATGAATTTGTCCCTCAGCTAGAATTCTGACTGTGTCTGTCTTGATTTGAGTGTTGAAGGATAAATTCTCACCTAGGAATCCTGTTTTCAGCATCCACACTTGATGCTCCTATTTGTCCCAGGAAATCAACATCAACTACCTATTCTCCAGCCCGTCTGCTGGGATGGCGTGGTGCCCGATTCCTGGCAGGGTGGGTGTAATCCAAAGGGCTGGGGTTGCAGAGCATTGTGTTTGGAGGGATGGCTGTGAGAGGTGGGGAGGGCGGTGGGCTTGGAAGTACACGGGCTGCAGGAAATGGCTTTTTTCTCGCCTCGTCCTCGCTTTCAGGCCCCTGCCCCTCATAGCAGTTGACTCTGCTTTTTTGCCTCTCTAAGGATCCTGCCTTTTAGAAAACCTGAGGCAGAGAACTGCACATGTGTATGGGGGATGCTGAATGTTGGAATCTCGCTTCACAAACATCTAGAGGCATCATCACCCAAGATAAAACAGAGTGAAGCTGGCAACGCAGACTCAGTATTTCTGGAGGTAGATGGTGGGATTGTTGTTGTTGTTCAGTTGCTAAGTCATGTGCAACCCCAGGGACTGCAGTCTGCCAGGCTTCCCTGTCCTTCTCTATCTCTTGGCGTTTGCTCCAACTCGTGTCCATTGAGTCAGTGATGCCATCCAACCTTCTATAGGTGATTTTTAATTTTCATTTTTTTTATTGTATGATCACATTTATTTGTGAAATCCAAAAACAGAATAAATTCATAGCAAACAAAAATCATGCATGCTTGTGGTTACCAGAGGCAGAGAATTGGTGGGAGGAAATACAGGATGGAGGTGATCAAAAAGTATAAACATCCATCTATAAGATAACTACAAAACCTGTAATGCTCAACAGAAATATACCACAACAGCAAATAATCAAGCTATCATATGAACTAAGAAACTAAATAGACATTTATCGAAAGAAGATATACAAATGACTGATAGGCACATGACAAGTTACTCAACATTACAAAAGATATAATGTACAGGATGACCAAAATTAGCACAGCTGGAGGAGATATGTTTCTTTTTTATTATCTGCTTTTATATATTTCTTACTATGGATTAAGTGGATGGTAATAAAAAAGCAAAGTAAGACAAAAAATGGCCACAGAATATAGGTATAATAGAAGACTTTCCTAAAAGACCTAACCTTTGACTGACGAAGAATTTCTCAGCCCTCTGTAAAGTGTCAATCAACTGGTGCTCATGAAGATCAAGCTAGGATGTCAGAACCGCAGATGAAGCACCTGGAAGCAGAGAAGATGGGGTAGTGGCTGGAGCAGGGGAGGATGCGGTGTTGGTTCTGAAAGCGCTGGGCGGGAGGCGAATCAGAGCAGAGTCAGACCTTCAGAAGAGAATTAGCATCTGTGCTATATTCCTGAGATGACTTCAGCTTCCCTCGCTGGCTTGCAAAGAGTTGGAGACAACTGAGCGTGCACACACCCACTTGCCACAACTAGAGAAAAAATGCATGCAGCAGCAAAGACCCAACATGGCCAAAAATAAATAAATAAATAAAATGTGTCTAGCCTTCCCTGGAGGAGTTGATGGCTCCCTTTTCTGACTCCACAGGCTGCTATGGAGGAGTTTTTTCACTGGAGGTCTGATTCATTCAAAGAGTCCAGTTCCTCTCTTTCTAGAAGGTACATGTGTTCTTTGAAAAAAGTAACCATCTCCCCAGGGCTTAGAAGGCAACCTAGTATATGGGATCCTCAGAATAAACCTCTGCCTTCCCCTAGCCAGAAACCTTTTTTCCCTACTACTCTAGTTTATTCATTTATTTTGTAATGAAATAGATAGAATGGTTGTGAGAGTTGAGCCGTAAAGAAAGCTGAATGATGAAGAATTGATGCTCTTGAACTGTGATGTTGGAGAAAACTCTTGAGAGTCCCTTGGACTGCAAGGAGATCCAACCAGCCCATCCTAAAGGAGATCAGTTCTGAATATTCATTGGAAGGACTGATGCTGAAGCTGAAACTCCAATACTTTGGCCACATGATGCAAAGAGAACCAACTCATTGGAAAAGACACTGATGCTGGGAAAGATTGAAGGCAGGAGAAGGGCACAGCAGAGGACAAGATGATTGGATGGCATCACTGACTCGATGGACATGAGTTTGAGCAGTCTCCGGAGATGGTGAAAGACAGGGACGCCCGGTGTGCTGCAGTCCATGGAGCTGAAAAGAGTAGGACACAACCGAGTGACTGAACTGAATTGAGATAGAACATAAAATTTACCATCTTGGGACTTCACTGGCAGTCCAGTGGTTGAGACTTTACCTTCCAATGCAGGGGATGTGGGTTCGATCCCTTGTTGGGGAGCTAAGATTCCACTTGCCCCACAGCCAAAATAAGAAAAAACCCATAAAATGGAAGCAACATTGTAACAAATTCAATAAGTATTTTTATTTTTATTTTTTAATTTTTTTCAATAAGTATTTTTAAATGATCACCATTAAAAATTTTTTTAATGAATAAAATTTCTCATCATTTGAAAAAGGTGTACAGTTTGTGGCATTAAATGCAGTCACACTGTTGTACATCTGTCACCACCATTCAACTCCAGAATGCTTTCACCTTCCCCACCTGAAACTGCATATCCGTTAAATGATAACTCTTCATTGTTCCTCCTCCCAGCCTCAGGCATCTACCCTCATCTTTCTATCTTCTGTTCCTGTGAGTTTGACTAGTCTAGATACCTTATCTGAGTGTAACTATGCAATATTTGTCCTTCTGTGACTGGCTTATTTCACTTTGCATAACGTCCTCAAGTTTCATCCACCTTGTAATGCATATCACAATGTCCTTTCTTTTTTTCTCAAAGCTTATGTATTTTATTTTGGCTGTGGTGGGTCTCTGTTGCTGTGTGTGGGCTTCTCCTTGCAGCGGCTTCTCTTGTTGAGGAGCACAGACTCTAGGCGTGAGGGCTTCCATAGCTGTGGCGCAGGAGCTTCATTGCCTCTCGATATGTTGGGTCTTCCCAGATCAGGGATCAAACCCGTGTTCCCTGCATTGACAGGCAGACTCTTTTTTAAAAAATTAATTTATTTTTTTAATTGAAGGATAATTGCTTTACAGAACTGTGTTGGTTTCTGTCAAGCATCACCATGGATCAGCCACAGGTGTACATATGTCTCCTCCCTCTTGAACCTGCCTCCCACCTCCCCTCCCATCCCACCCCTGCAGGTTGTTACTGAGCCCCAATGTGAGTGCCCTGAGTCATATAGCGAGTTGCCATTGGCTATCTATTTCACATATGGTAATGTAAGTTTCCATGTTACTCTCTGGACAGGCAGATTTTTAACCCCTGGAACACCAGAGAAGCCCTGTCCTTCCTTTATTAAGGCTGAATGGTACTCTATTGTATGTACTGACCACATTTTGTTCATTCATTCCTCTGTTGAGCGACACTTGAGTTGCTTCCCCCTTT